TAGTACCTGATAAATTATATCAGGGATCCATGACGTATGCTAACGGAAATAACATGGGCAAGTCTTCTCAATACTTTCTAAATTTTAATTCCATGGAAAATATAACAGAACTAAAATCGGGGTCATCTTTAAATCTATGAAAAGCCATAGTAATTATATAAAGACGTTCGATGACCATACAACTAGCGAGATAATAAACACCAGATAAAATATTTGTAGAATCATAAAAACTTGTTAAAATTTTTTTAATTTTAAAAGCTAAACTCCAATCGGACTAAGTCAAAATAGTATCGTCTTCGTCTCTAATATGTCTATTGTTATAAAATTCATTTATTAAATGTTCAAAATCTTCACATGATTTTAATAATAAGTAAGTGGAGTTCCATCTATACCCTACGTCACTAATAAATGTTTTTGTATTGAAATGTGAGTCGATGCATGTTGAACAAAGCGAATGTCTAGAGATAAGCAGAAGTTGTAATGTAAGGGCAAAAATTGTTCGAAAACCATAAAAAGCCTTACTATGTGAGACTTACTCTCCTCCTCAGGAAGAGATCCACTCTCTGCTAAAACAGTTGTTGCTTTGAAGAAAGGTAATAAAGTCAAGGTGAACATAAAACTGAAAAAAGCTCTTGACATACTAGCAACTGTTGTCATTTCCTCTTATAGAGAGAAAAGTAATAAAATTCATAAAGTTGAAACACTGGTATATATAGAAAGAGAAGATGAGACATTCCCTTATACCACAATTACAGGAAGTATACATTTATTTTATGGTCCTTTTTGGCAGGAGCTTCTGTTTTGCTTTTACTTTGAGCTTTGTGAAAAAGTTACTTTAGACCAATTTCATCTATAAACTCTTTTAATCAAACAAAACACTTTTAAAAAATTATCGAAGCATCTCCCTTGGATTTTCCAAAGTCCTACCAAATCGACCATATATTTTTCAGTCAAAGAGCAACTTAGGATGTCATAACTATTTCTGCTTCCTTCCTTACAAAATGATAAACATTACATACAAATATAATCACATGAAACTCACAAGGTTCAAGACAACTTTTTAATTTTCCTTCTTAAGCATGTTCGTCCGATTGTCTAAATTACTAACATGTAGTCCATACTTATTGCCTAAATATTAGATCAAAAGCGTGGTGCCAATCGCCATCTTTTTTAACTGCACGCGAACAATGGAACAATGCACTGCACGTCAAAACAAAGCTACCTTTAGCACAACTACTATCCACCCATCCACCACCTAAAAACGGAGAAAAGGAATAAAGCATTACTTTTGCACTAAGCATTTACTTTCTAGGTAGGTTTAGGGCCTCAATGGAAATTTTGCTATCAATGCTGACCTGAAATTATTGAGTTTGCAAGGCTGTCTTTGTAATTTGTATGGTAGGCTATCGTTAATCAAATATTGATTCTTTGTCGAAGATTTCTAGTGCAAACCGTACATATATTGACAATGTATTCTTTGTCCCCGATGGTTTACCATTATTTTAAAATTCTTTTTTTCTCAAATTCTTTTTCAATCACATATTCTCACAATAAAATATTTTGCTTGTAAATTCAATTTTTTTTTTCTAATTTTTAACCACATTTTTCAAAAATTCACTATTTCAAAACTATTTTTATTGAATAACTGTCGACAAACGCGAGGTTGACTAAGGAAATTAAATTTTGGAGGGACTTCCATCCCATCCCATCCCATCCCATCTCATCCCACGTAGACAAACGCGTGGTTTACTAAAGAAATTAAATTTTGGAAGGACATCTGACCCCAGGAATCAAGCTTTTCGTGTGCCTTTTTTACTAGATAAACTAGATAGTACTGATTCATGTTGATTGACTAAATATGTAGTGTTCTCATTGCAAGCTCTCTCTCTCAAAGTCGACTATAAAATCCAGAAATTCTTGAGTTAAATTGCTTGAGCTAATATTTTTCAAACGAACGAACGACATGATCTCACCAGACCACGTGAAAAGAGGGAGTTATATACCAAAACTAAGATGGTCTGGTAGTTATTTTCAATAATAAATTGAACAAGCTTATCAAATTTATTGGAAACAAACTTCTGCACGAATTTCCTATAAGCAGGCAAACCAATAACAAACAACAATTAAAATCCATCCCCCCCCCCCCCTCCACCCTCTCGTGAGGGACGTGTAGACGAGAGTGTACATGTAGCCAAGCTCGGGTGACAATAGATTAGTAAATTTGTCAATTGAAAAGATATTGACATATTGACATATGTAGTCTATTAATTCCTCGGCCCAATTAGTACTCTGTATAAAGATTCAAAACAGTCCATTTACGAGTTAGTGCATATCCAAATATACACATTATTATTGTGATGGGACTCGGCTCTTTCTTACGTGATCATAGACATGTCAAGACGTGTCACTATAAATATTTAATTTTGAAATATGGAACCTTAAGAATTAATTATTTTACAAAAAGAAAAATTCCGATCCCCATGAGCCTACGTGTTATAATGCCAATGAGTTTGAAGTGTCTGTCCGATTTTTCATATTCCGCACTTCTAATGCAAAGGCCATACATGTGTATCTCTTCCATGTATATGCAAGTTCAAAATAGTATAAAGTTCTGATACTAGATCATCGACGATTAAAAAAAAAATGTCGGTCATAAATTTTATATTTTAAATAGTAACATTAATATGTTTCCTAGCGGGACATGGGAATCAATTGGAAACTTCAATGCGAATTGAGGCTGGTCCTACAAATCACCCATTTTATAGAGAAAATCTTTATCCTTTGTCGGTGTAAATTATTGTCTTCGACTAACATTAAATAATTACAGTCATAATCTTACTGAAAATGAACGAGGTTACATCCAGCTAACATCTAGAGGAGGATGAATATGTGTATAATGCGGAACCTAATTAAAATCTAACAATAAGCAATAAGCCACCAATTATTGTTTCTAGATGAACAAGTTTAATTAAATAAAACCCTAATTATCAATCAATCATGCAGATCAAAGAAGTACAAGTAAAGAACACCAATACTTATTAACGACGTAACAACCCTTGAAGAACTCTTCACTTGAATAAAAAAACAATCTGGGCAAACTCTCAAATAGATATACTAGAAAAGATTTAACTTACAGTTGGTCTAGACACAACTAAAGTTTAGTAGACTATGACCATCCAACTTGTAAATCATTGAAGTACTTTTCGATTGTGCCTCTTGCACTTTTCTAAGCCTCTAGAGTTCTACTCCCACCTCGTGGATCACTAAAAATTAATTTGTTCTTCACGAACTGAAACTCCAGTCACCTCTCCTCAACTTTAGAATTGTGAAAGCTATTTAGTAAAAGATTTTGTTGGTGTTTAATCTTCTGGTGTTTTGATGCTTTGATCATGTGGCTGAATTAAGAGAATTATAGATTGTGTTATTGATTTTCAACATGACGTTCTCTAAAATGAAAAGTGGCTCAACACACATTTGGGATGAAATATAGCTTGGATATTTATAATACGAAGTGTTCTAGATTGTTTGGGATTGTAAAAATACTAAAAATCGCAAAATATGATTTCATCATGTAACACGACCGTTTAAGTGGACGTCGAGCGCTCATTGTTAAAATCGCTTGAGCGCCTAAGGGTGGCCAACAAGTTTTCATTGAGCAACCATCAATATTTTTATTATATCTTTCTTTTTCGATATCAAATTGAGGCAATTCAAAGTACGATAATTCTTTTAGAAATATCATTTTTTCAATTCGAATGTTTTCTATGCTGAAAATGGATCTCAACATGTAGCTGTGAATTTAGAACATAACTTGTGTGGCACTTTGACACTCATTTGACTTCTAATTGCATCTTATTGATCATATGTGGTCTTCTTGAGCCAGTGAGAGCAACCATCAACACTTTAGACCTAACACTTATGGTATTAATAAACAAGTCGAATGAAAATTCAACGTGCGTTACATTTACACCCCAAGTGTTTGTGCACCTATTATAATTCCTAGGCTGTATAACCTTTTGCTGCATGAAGTTTGTTCTTTTTATTCAACGTGCTCGACTAAATTCATAATTATTTTTGTTGTGCTTGACCAATTTGAGTAGAAGGTTGAGTGGATTCTTGATAAACTTCGTTAAGCGATTGCTAATTATAAAAATTACAATATTAAGCCCCAATGGGCATGGCGCCGTGGTAAAGCAAGAGAGTTCTCTACGGAGTATTGAATGTTCGAATCCCCACGACGGCTGGAAGAAAACAATTTATGTTGGAAGGCAGAAGCCCACAGGGAGGAGAACCGCCGAATGTCTTACCCAAGTGTTTGTAAGCTGTGACCGCATCTGGATTAACTCGGGTGGCGAACCAGGGGGGAAGACCACACCACTTCTCAGGATTAGTCGAGCGAAATTTAGACACCTAAATCAACAAAAAAAAATATTCAATTTATTTTTAAGAAGCTAAGACACGTGCATAAAGTTTGACAGCTTCTTTGACATCATGTGAGTTGACAAATTTGTATACATTGATTTTAACAACACTCTTTCTAATCAATGATCGGGATTTCTACACATAAGTGGGCTGTCAAACTGTTGTCATCCGAAAGTGTACAAGAGGCGTAATTGTTTAACAAATTAAATGACAGGACAATCATTATTGCATATTATGACAAACAATAGGCTTAAACAAGAAATTAAGTAATTAACTATATTATATATAAGCTTACATTTAATAATTTCTATAAAACCTCGATTGCACGGTAAAAAAGAAAAATTCCTCTAGCTCACCTCAAATATGGAGCATGATCCTTGCCAATTACTAACTTCATGGCTTTAACGTAACAACTGTAGGAAAATATAATAACTAGCGAACTAATACAGACCAACACCGAAGAAACAGAATTACAACAAAACAGAACAATAATATAAAGAAAAAAAAATGAACTTTTAACTCGAGGCCTGTGTTACACACAGTTTTCTTAAAACAGATTCGTCCCCTCATCGTACGTGCTTAAGGTGTAAATTGAGCGTACAACGGTGGAACAGTAGAATCTGAGCACCACAGACTTTACTCTGGCGAACTGAGTTAGAGCTCGAACAATATCACCACCAGACTCAAACAGAAATGAAACCAGAGACAAAACCCGAACTGTATGCAGATAAATATTCAGATGAATTCTTGTACAGAAAACTGGGAAAAACCGAGGTATATTGCTAATTATAAAAATTACAATATTCAGCCCTCATGGACATGGCGCAGTGGTAAAGCAGGATGGTTCTCTATGGAGTATCGAATATTCGAATCCCCACGACAGTTGAAAAGCAACAATTTATGTTGGAAGGCAGAAGCCCACAGGGAGGAGAACCGCCGAATGTCTGATCCAAGTGTGTGTAAGCCGTTACCGCATCCGGATTAACCAGGGTGGCGAACCAGGGGGGAAGACCACCATTCCCCAGGATTAGTCAAGCGAAACTTCGACACCTAAATCAACAAAAAATAAAAAATTAATTTATTTTTAAAAAGCTAAGACACATGCATCAAGTTTGATAGCTTCTTTGACATAGTAAAAATATATATATTAAAGTGAAGAAGATAATGTTGAAGCCGTTACTTTCATTGATTGAGCTTATTCAATATATANGCGAACCAGGGGGGAAGACCACCATTCCCCAGGATTAGTCAAGCGAAACTTCGACACCTAAATCAACAAAAAATAAAAAATTAATTTATTTTTAAAAAGCTAAGACACATGCATCAAGTTTGATAGCTTCTTTGACATAGTAAAAATATATATATTAAAGTGAAGAAGATAATGTTGAAGCCGTCACTTTCATTGATTGAGCTTATTCAATATATAATACATTGCATTGCTACAAGAAGAATCTAGATATTACAGTTGTTAGGTGGTTCCATAAATTATGGATCATGTTGGGATCTTTCAATAACAAAATGGTGGTCCAATAACAGCAAGAAAAAACGGTTATGACAGCAAGGAAAGAGGAAGCTGAGTGAATGGAGATAGCTCTATAGTGAATGGAGCTAGCCACCAACTTTTTGCTGGATGGAGATAACAACACTAGTTCCATGGTGAATGGAGCTAGCCACCAACTCCTTGCTGGATGGAGCTAGCAACACTAGCTCCATGGTGAATAGAGCTAGCCATTATTCTTAACACCCCCCTTCTAGTTGGACTGCAGGGAAGTGACTCCAAGTTTGTCTTTCAAAAAGAGAAACCTTGAATGACTTAAATCATTTTGTCAACAAATCAGCAATCTGATCTGAGGTAGGTATGTATTTCACTTCAAGCTTTCTTGCCAGTACCTTATCTCTGATGAAGTGGATGTCCAACTCTATATGTTTTGTCCTTGCGTGATATACTGGATTTGCAGCAAGTGCTCCTGCACTCATGTTATCACACCATAGAGTTGGAATTCCAACTAGAGGCAGCCCAAGTTCCTGAAACAGCGATTGAATCCATGCAACTTCTGTGCAACTTCTGAAGCAGTGGAGGCAAGGGCTCTATACTCAGATTCTGTGCTAGAACGAGCTACTACGTGCTTCTTTTTAGAGGACCAGGATATCAGATTATCACCCAAATAGATACAGTAGCCTGTTGTTGACCTTCGATCATCTGGACAAGAAGCCCAGTCATCCAATTAAGTTCAATCTGTCACTCCTCTGGATCCATAAGTCATGATTTATAGTGCCTTTGAGGTATCTCAGAACTCTCTTCAAAGCTTGTGAATGAATCGAAGTTGGAGTTTGCAGAAATTGGCTTAATTTGTTGACTGTGAAGGTAATGTCTGGTCTTGTATGTGAGAGGTATTGCAGGGCCCCAACTGCACTTCTGTAAATTGAAGGTTCAGTTAACATTTCACCATCAGTCTTGGAGATAGTTTTGCCAGTAGGAATTGGTGTAGGAAACGATTTTAAATTTTCCATCTCAAACCTTTTTAGTAAGTCAGTAAAGTATCTTGATTGGGTGAGGTGAATGCCAGAGTCGTACCATACAACTTCAATCCCAAGAAAGTGATGCAATCTTCCCATATCCTTCAGAGTAATTTTTTGTTGAACAACAATTGGTGTGTAGTCTTCATATAATCCCGCTAGGACTTGAGTGATTAGATCAGTGTGAGCAATGGTTTTCCCAGCAATTTCTAAGTTATCAGAGAGTTGTTTTACCTTAGTCAGGGTACTGATCTATGCTCATATTGCCTTTCCTGCATTTTTGAAGTTCACCAATAAGGAAAATTATCCTTGATCTATTTTGGACTCCATAGCTTTCTTCAATGACTGTCCACAGTCCATCTTGCACCCATCACTTTCATTGCTATATCTGAAGTCATGGATGAGTAAAGCCATCCTATCAACAGTTGATCTGTTGACATCCATTGGCAAAACTCCGGGTTCTTTACCATTTCTATACTAGTTCCATCTTCTCCATTAATTTGATTACCAATAAAATCTTGAGGACACACCTGTCCCAAGTATATAGCCTTCCAGATTGTGGCCTCTGATAATCGGAATGATCATAATCTTCCATAGCAAATAGTTGTTCTTGTCAAGCTTGACAGATACGGTTTGAGTCAAGTTGACACTAAACGGTGAGAGCTGAGTGTTTCCAAGTGTTGGTGCAGCTGTGCTGCTGGAAAGGGATGCTGGAGCAGCATTCTAAGGCGTGCTGGTGGCATTGGCCATGGCTGCTTTGATACCAAGTAAAAATATATATATTAAAGTGAAGAAGATAATGTTGAAGCCGTTACTTTCATTGATTTGAGCTTATTCAATATATAACACATTGCATTGCTACAAGAAGAATCTAGATATTACAGTTGTTAGATGGTTCCATAAATTATGGATCATGTTGGGATCTTTCAATAACAAAATGGTGGTCCAATAACAGTAAGAAGAGACGGTTATGACAGCAAGAAAAGAGGCGGCTGAGTGAATGGAGATAGCTCCATAGTGAATGGAGATAACAACACTAGCTCCATGGTGAATGGAGCTAGCCACCAACTCCTTGCTGGATGGAGATAGCAACACTAGCTCCATGGTGAATGGAGCTAGCCGTGAATGGAGCTAGCCATTATTCTTAACAGACATCATGTGAGTTGACAAATTTTTACATATTGATTTTACCAACACTCTTTCTAATCAATGATCAGAATTTATACACATAAGTGGGCTGTCAAACTGTTGTCATCCGAAAGTGTACAAGAGGCATAATTGTTTAACAAATTAAATGACAGGACAATCATCATTGCATATTATGACAAACAATAGGCTTAAACAAGAAATTAAGTAATTAACTATATTATATATAAGCTCACATTTAATAATTTCTACAAAACCTCGATTGCACGGTAAAAAAGAAAAATTCCTCTAGCTCACCTCAAATATGGAGCATCATCGTTGCCAATTACTAACTTCATGGCTTTAACGTAACAACAATATTTAATACAAATCAACCCGAATATCAACTTAAACAGGATTTATTTGACTCTAATTGTATCTCGCATCACTATGCTAAACCTTATTAAATGGATTTATAACCAATAGAACACTTCACTTTACAAGTCAGTTTTAAATGTGAATTCTAACATGTGGTTGTAACATTTAAATTTGGATTTAATGATTCAGTGATAGGAGTAGAAACTTCTGCATCTGTTTGTACAATGGTAGGCTTCTGAGTTTGACTTTCACTTGAACTTCGCTTTTGCCATTCTTGGTTTAAGCCTTTTATGGTTTTGAACCTCATATCATTACCTTCGTGGGGTACATCTGGAATGGCCATATGTCCTTCGAGCATTTGGACAACCTCGGACATGGTAGGCCTAACAGATGCAGTTGAATTTGTGCAGAGAACAGCTACTTTTGCCGTCCTTTCTACTTCTTCTGGGTTCACTTGAGAACCCAGCCTTTTGTCGAGAAGTTTGTCTATGTAATTAGTTTCTTGCAAGTGACAAGCCTGCAACACAATTTTTTCCAGACATTAGATGGTTTCAATAAGGGCGGCAAAAACGGAAGTTGGCTACAATTATGAATGTCTGCATGCAAATTTGGGGGTTAAATTTTGGACTAAATAACGAGTGGGGGTGTCAAATAGGTCAGGCTGTCGTGATTATTGGCAAGCTGCGCCAAGCCCATTTTGCCAAATTTATTAGGTCAGTCTCGACCTGCCTTCAAAATGAAAGGTGGTCGAGCCTGGTGCAGTTTTTTGCTGTGGGGCCAGCAGGGCCTGGACAGCCCGATCCTTTTGACATCCCTAATAACAAGGGAAGTGCAATTAAGGAGGTGTTTTGAGCCAAGTTATTTTTGAAGAATGTATTTTGGAATAATATAATGATGGAGAATGTGTAGTTAAAAAAGAAGAAAATTTTTTTGATTTGCGTGTAAGATTATTTTAATGAAAAACGTGTGGTTGAAAAGAAAAGAGAGAAAAACGTATTTTGGGAAAAATGGGAATCAAACATCCCCTAAGTGAAGAGCCGAAGGATTAGTACCATATCCAATAGGCAAGTGTAATTACTACTTGGCATGTATGTGTTGTTGCTCTTGCCACTGATAATTTCCAAAAGCACGACTCCAAAGCTATAAACATCTGCTTTATTGGTCAGATGTCCCCACTGTGCATATTCCGGTGCCATATAACCTCTGCAATCAAGATGAGAAACTACCGAGTTGGAGCATGCCAAGGTACAAGGGTTGTAAAGAATTATCCAATAAACCCTTTTATAAACCAGTTGAACTCACATTGTTCCAGCAACTCGGGTGATAATATGGGTCTTTTCTTCTTCATTAAGCCTAGCCAATCCAAAATCCGATATTTTAGGGTTTAGATTTCCATCAAGCAGAACATTAGATGCTTTGATATCTCTGTGAACAATTTTCAGCCTTGATTCTTCATGAAGAAATGCTAATCCTCTAGCAATTCCAAGACAAATCTTGAACCTTGTTGGCCAGTCCAGCATCAACTGACTTTCCTCTGAACCTGAATTTTGCAGCCAGACCAATATGGGCATGTTTAGTACTATCATAATAGGTATCCAGATTGGACAGTTGAATCAACAAAATTTCAACTGTTTTCTTTAGTACTGTCTAATAATGCACCGTACACCCTTGCAAAAAAAGCTATAAAACCAACAAACAGAAAATTGAAAAAGATGTCACGTGTAAGAAAAATTACCAAACAAAACATGGGCCAGACTATTGTTTTCCATGTACTCGTATAAAAGTATCAATTGGTCTCCTTCAATACAAAATCCAAGAAGCTTCACGAGGTTTGGGTGTTGCAAACAAGAAATCATGCCAATCTCATTCAAAAATTCACGATTTCCTTGCCTTGATTTAGAGGAGAGCTGCTTTACGGCAGTAACAGTACCATTAGATAATTGACCCTGTGCCAGTTCTTCCATTAGAAAACCTATGCATCAGAAATGAAGGAAATAATGCTCTCTAAACAATAAATACCTTGTACACGGGACCAAAACCACCTTCTCCAATCTTGTTCATGGGATCGAAGTTGTTAGTAGCCACTTTTATTTGTTTCAAAGTAAAAGACACAGTTTGCAATTCCAGACCTTCAAAATCTGTTCAGGGAAGACACAAATTGCACAATGTTCTGTTTGGTCATCCCAGATAGGTACAGCGCATTTGATATCACATAACAAAGAATAAAAAATTTGAAGATACAAGATTTATGAGGTTTCGTCGGCATCCTACATCCAAGTAAGGGAGGAAAACCAACTATAAGAGCTAGGGTTAAAGAACAGAGAGAAATCTCTAAGTTTCCAAAATCCCAATGCATCGTAGATGACTATATGGAAACACACACTATATACAGGTGGAATGTAGAGCTCCCTAATTCCTTTTGCTCCATGACAGGTGGTCCACTAAAAACATACTTAAGAGAGAGAATAATATTGCTCTTTGAACGAAAGATCTAGACATCCCACCTGTCATTTCAAATCACATGATATGGTGGCATCTTTGAAAGATTATGTAAGCATATTTAACTGTTTCATTTTGAAGTTTACTTTATATTTCATATTTGATACCCTAAGCATGAATTGCACTCTGCATTTAATCATATTCAACAGCTTATGAATCAATAATCATTCTTGCTTTCGTAAGATAAATCAAAGCCCTCACCTTTCCGTTTTCTGCCTTTCAAACAACCTTTCCACCGAAGGAAGCCAAATATCGAGAAAATAAGGCATACGGCCACAACTCCAACACTTACATAAACAGTTAAATTGTTCTTGCCTCCATTTGAACAAATTTTGAAGTCTGCAAAATATAAGAAAAGGCATTAATGTTTATGTAACACAAAGCAAGGAGAAACTCAAGTTTAAACTAGAACTAAGTTCAGCTCTTACTAGCAGGTTAGGCATTTTTATGACATTCAAACTTCATACTAGCTAAGATGAATAAGAACTAACAAATGCACACCCCCAAGACACAACCGAAAGAAAATTTCAGAAGATCAAGACTCAATCTAGACCACAACCTTAAATATTAATATAGATTTGAAACTGAAGTGTTGATGGTTGAAATTAATGAATGTGGAGAGCCGAGAGACAAGTTGATGAAGAAAATTCATGAGCTGTGTGCACCTAATAGTGTAACAGTCCACGAAAAATCACATAACCATCAACAAATATTGGTCACATAACCATCAACAAATATTGGTGGACAGCGCATGCCAAAGTTTTTCTAACTCCTGAACTTAAAATATTATCGAAATATTGCCAATAAAATATATAATTAATATGTCAAGTCGATAATTGATAAGGAGAGATGAGAGAGAGGTGGAAAGATAATGAAAATATAAGAAGGAAAAGAATGCAAATACTCACTTGGAATGACAGAGATGGCTGATATAATGGAACCATAATCTCCTCTATTAGGAATTCGTGTAGTTCCTTTACTCGCCCAGTAAAATCGGATCTCCAAAATATTATTTGATACAGTGACATTAAAAGGTTTAGTCACAGGCGTTTGAGCTCCCCTAGCCTCATCTTCAATGTTGAAATCTTTCCAAACTAATTTTTCCTGAGAGTGAAAGAGGGTCTTAAAAAGCCATAAAATTCACTTGGGAAACGCATATAATTCAAATAAATAATCACTACCTGGATGTATATGTCAAACATCCGCTTTCCAAGTTTGTAATATGTGCTATCATTTGTGAAAAGTATTTCAGCAAAGTGAAGATTAACGCTATAACTCCCATTCTCCAGACAATAATGGTAATACGTAAGCGAAAGAGGACTGAGACGTGCGGTACAGTATAACTCAGAGAGGTTTGCAGTCGACGTGGTTCTGGTAGAACGTGAATTTTGGTTGTCAGGTTGGTCCATGAATTCTCCAGAACTAGTAAACCCCCAATAACTGCTGGTACTTAAAAATCTTGCAGAATCACCTCCAACATCTCCTTCATAAGTAACTTTTCTATTACTTTCTTTGATTTCCAAATTGCCCCCACCACAATTAACATGGAAAGAACACTTGTCTGACATGGACAAACAAGATTAATGGTTACACAAGCAATCTCACAACTCTTCCTTAAAAAACATATGAATTAGACGAACAAAAACTGCATGGGTACATGAGGAAGGTGGCACTGATTAAGGATAAGTTAACAAAAAGACGAGTTAGGTGGTTATGACATATTTAGTTTAGACCTAAAGATGCTATTGTTCAATTGACATTATCTCAATAATATAGGTTAGAAGAGGAAGGGACAAACTAAAACTGACATAGCCTGAACAAATTGGCGTAAAAAGATTCATGTAGATGATCCCAAATATACTGGGAACAAAGCTTACTTTGTTGTTATTTTTGTCATAGTGAGATGCTCCAAAATATTAAGTTGTGAAGTAGATAAAGCAAATAAAGAAAACTTCAGTTTTATAGTAAGGGGATAATTTAATTAACAAAAGGGGAACATACTTACATCTGGGACAATCTACATTTCTTGTACATGGAAGCATTTGTTGTCTGTTGGAGGTTAAGCAGTGAAGCAGTCAGAAACAAGTGTGCATTTAGTTTAGTTAGATGACTACGTGAGAATTATAACTTGCTTTCAAGTGTTGGCCAGTAATATTTTGCGAATAAAAAGAGAGAATGCAACTTACAGTGGATTTACAGTAGCAGAGCTTTTGAACAGGTTCAAATTTTGATTTCTACTAAAACAAGGAGGGTGGGGGTGGGGGTGGAGGAGAGAGAGGTTAATGATTTGAACACAGAAAAAGTGCATGCTGATGAAAATATGCAGTATGAAATAATTAAAGAATTTCTTAACATGTTTGATCGACAAGCTGATTGGTCAGGGCCTTCCAATGTGAAATTGTTGTAGGAAAGATCGCTGCACAATGTTAATAAGATAGATGTCATTATCTGGACCATTTAAATTATATGCTCACACACAGAAGCATTCATCACTAGCCATTATTGATGGCAATACAGAAAGAAATTTTAGGGGGTTTACCAATATGCGCAGCTTAATATTTTGCTATAATGCTCTTTAGAATTATATATTTGTGATGTAGGGAAAAGTGGATAATGCAGTATTCTAACAACGCACATTCAACCTTCACTCACAAACAAGATGGAAAATATCGGGAATGATGTCGAATGGGTATCATTATAGATAGTACACGTACATATTGCTTCCATCCTTCAAGAGTGCATCTGGGATATTTCCACTTAGCATGTTTCCAGTGACAAACCTAATTAGGAAAAAACATATGGTAAGAATTACGTGCAGAGGGACAAAAAGGTAGTTTCAAGATGTTTCAAGTAATGTACATTTTTCTCAAAATGCATTTAATACAGAAGTGAAAGATTGAAGCTTGTACTCACACAACTTTCAGATTTCTTGCGATGTCATATGGAATATTTCCCACCAACTTATTGAAACTCACATCCCTGTTTATATCATAAAACATAAAATACAGTCAAACAAAAACGTAGTTACTCCCCTATGTCTGAACTTACTAAATCATGTAAACACATTATTTCAGTATGATTGCTGCGTTATTAACAGAACCGCAAGTCAATTGAAGTCAACAAAATATTTATTTAAAGACGTGATAATGTAGTTTATACATATCTATTTGGTCTATTAATTTCTAAGTTCTCCTGGGAACTATTTCATTTCATAACTACGGTTGCATATCAAGTCCTCCCATATCATGTTTCAATTATAGCATGACAATCAACAATGGGACAAAACCCATGAAACAGAAGTATATCATCTGTCAAAAAGTTTAATAGGAGAATAATAAGTCAAATACCGTTTTCCTTGAACAAAGTCCAAATACAGAAGGCAGAAAGAAGAATCGAAGTAGCAGGACAGAGAAATATTGACCACCATGCAACCAGTAACCCCAGAATCGTGTAAATAAGCAGCTAAATGATTATTTTAAACTGATATTTGGTTACTTACAACATCTGTAGAACCCGAAATTTCCATACATATGCAGGAATTTTTCCAGAAATGTTGCAATTTCTTAACACCCTAAATCCAAGAGTGAATTTATCTCATTAGTTTAGAGTTATGAAACAAAAAATTAAAGAATCTCAATATGCATAATTGTTCAGCACACAGTGTTACTATGCTTGTCGTGCTCCGCAGTACAGGAAATCCCTGAGTTGGCCCTTTTATGTCACTAATTCTCCTGTATAAGAAAATTCTGACGTGAAAACTACCAAGTAGTAAACTGATATGGAAATATAAAAATAAAAAACCGAGGCCAACGCAAATCTTATGGAGGTACTACTTACAAGGCGGTTAACATTGTCAGAAAAGATATGCTCGAGGGAATTGGTCCCTCTAATCCACTCGCATGCATTTCTCTTCAGTAAGCATTAAAACTAATAAATGTTAAACAAAATAATTGAAAAAAAAAAAAGTTATCTATCATATCTTCAAAAGCACTTCTAGGTATGCAAGGATCTTACAAATGTGTTAGCCGTTTCCAGTTCTGAATAAATTCAGGTATCGGTCCACTGAAATTGTTATCATTTATCCTACTGCATTGAAAAGGGGCCTTCATTGAATATATCATCAAATTTCTAAACAATAAATTGAAGAAGAGAGTGTATATGCTTACAAGTCATCTAAGTTTATCAGTTCCGAAAAAGATGTTGGCAAGTTTCCGGTAAATTGATTGGAGGACAATACCCTGTGATTCAATAACCAATGCAGGCTGAAATAATCAGATTTTGTCTCATTCATTGAGAGTCGCATGTGAGATATAAAGCATATGGTGCGGTGCATAACAAATGTGGGATCTTACAGAGTCTTCAAGTTTATCAACTTCCCAAGTTCAGAAGGAATAGAGCCTGAAAATTGGTTGACTTCAAGGCTCCTGGTAAAATGACAAGCAGAATAGGACAATAAATTCTCCTTTATTTCAACAATAGTAAGAAGACAAGGAAGTCCTCTTTGTTTGTAACATCTCATTGTAGAAGCCTAAGTTGTTTGAGAAGGAAAGAAGTTATTTATTTAAATTATGCTGTCAGCACGTCCCTCATGATCCAGCCAGATACATTTTTCATTAAAGACCTAGCACGTGCATATTTTTCATAAATGTGATGGTGAGATTTAACCCTGAGCCTCTGTCTGCTCTGTCACCATGTTGATCTATTGAATAAATGAAGATGGAGAAGGAAAGAGCGTGAATAAGAAATTATTCATTTAAAGCTCTTTTCTTCTCTTACTTTCATCCATTTACTCAAAAATTCAACACACTTCATAAGTTTTATTTAACAACTAGATTTCAATCAGTAAATCTATTTCAGAAAACAAATTAACATATGATATACTTGAAGACATACAGGTACGTGAGGGTAGTAATGTTTCCCAGTTCCTCCGGTAATTTCCCTGATAACAGGTTCACAAGAAGAGAGCTGCATCAAAATTCTGTAATTAGTTGGTGCTTAAATAAATGAATAACTACTAGAATACATAAATAAATCAACGATGGAGCATACACAGAATTCAACCGTGTTGAAGCCCATTCAATTGGTATTGTCCCGGTGAGGAGGTTGTAAGCAAAATCACTGAGAGTTGAATGAAATATAACTTAGATTCAGTAGCTGATGCTTCTCCATGACAAAGTTGGCATAAATCAAAGAATCAATATAATGCTGGTAATGACAGGTTCTTACATATCTCGGAGGTACGGAAGCTTCACAATTTCAGGCGAAAGAATTCCTGGAAGATTATAACTCTTTAGCACACTGTATAATGTGGAACGTGGACATTAGCATCGAGACAACGGTTTCATCAATACAGTAATAAGTATATGGAGATATTTTTCGCTGATCACATCCTTTCAGCAAAACATTAATAATTACATGGAGACATCATTGAAATCTATACATAATTTAAAACTGTAGTGCTTGTATATATCTAAAGTGACAAGATTCTTGATCGGGAGGAACAGAACCCTAAACCATATGGATTCCACGATGAATTAAATTTTTGAGAACATAATAAAAGAAGAGATAAAGATACTAACATTTTTGTGACATGGCACACGGTGTTGTTTTCATAGGTGCAGTCACAATCAACATAACCCTCAGATCCACTTGGAGCAATTTGTGTAACGCCAACCAGTTCAATATCACATAAATTGGCATTAAATTTCCAGAATTTTGCACCCATTGCAGTAACAATTTGTTGCAGCACATCCACTAACAGACAGATATCAATGCATATTAGCATTTTATATTGCACCAAGGTATGTTTCATAAGGAAAATTTTACAGCATCGGCTCGTCTCGAGGAACAAAAAGAAGCTAAAACTTGTCCATTATACAAAATATGCACTAAGATTATGTTTGGTATGTGCAGGACAGCATATATAACAAGATTGTAGCTTCTTTTTTATCCTTAATATATTTTAGTATAATCTTCCATACCATACCAAGCATGCCATTATTGTATTCAGCACAAAGCATATATGTATTAGAAAAAAATGAGAACAAAACAGTAACTGAGGATGCTAACCTCAAAATAATGGCAAAAACTTAGAAAAGATTTACTAAAGAACTAATAACAGATGTGCTGTCAAAGATCAGATTCAATTCAATTGTTATAAAAAACCAAGGGTTTTTATATATTAAAACTGTCACTGAAACTTAAACCAATGGCAATCAGACACTAAAATCTGCCTAAGTACCCAATATAGCCTCTTTGAGTTTGAAGAAATTGGCTTAGCTGATAATTTGCAAATATCACTTAAGTTATTGAGCAAAACTCAAACGAAAAAACAAAGTTAATAAATAAACATAATAATTGTTGTTCTTTAGTGGGCACTATAAGATAACTGCATATTCATGAAATAGGAGCTAAAACTCAGATTCTTACCTTCTTCTTTAGGCACCTGTGGCACAGCAAAATTCAGCAACCTGAAACAACTCAATACAAGAATCCATGAAACAAAAGCGTTTGTTGACAGCATTTTCAAGCTTCTAGTAGAAGGGTAATATTGTACGGAAAGAAAAATACAGTTGATTGGTAATCAGACGCTGATCTTGATTTATTATTACCTGTCGATGAGGTTCACATGGTCCAGAAGTAAGTAAATGAAGGTCGGTCCAGATGTATGTGGTTTTCATGGTCCAAAGAAAAATGAAGCGTTTGTTGACTTAACAAGAAAATGTGTCATTTTTAGTATATTCTATTTCAAATTTTAAATTGAGAATATACTCTCTCGTGATTGAGTAAAAAATTAAATTGTAAATAAATTTTAATAAAAATTGATAAAGTATATAGTTGAGTAGTTAAAAAATGATGACTGACATGAAATTAATTGTTAACTTTGATTTAAATTTTTTTGTTAAGTCAAATAGGGGATATAATTTGAAAGTAAAATGTATTCTATATATACTTTAACATATTCGATTTTATTTCTAATGGTGAACCTGATTTCTAGTATGATAGAACTTTATACGTGTATAATAAGTTATTTTCATTGTATTATTAGTCATAGTTAAATGTATGATACACATTATTCTTAATTTTTAAAAGTGTAAGAAAAATATTATTTTTAGATATCATGTCAATATAAAGAAGATAATTGTATTTTTTATATTTGTAAATTACCAAATCTATGTCGGTGAAATTCGATACACCTTCAGTAATTTCTTCTAAATTCGTTGCACACCTTCAGTAATACATCTCCCAAACCATCAACCCCATGCATACACGTCAATGGCACTATCATTACCTTACCTCCAGCAAAAATAACGCTTATCCAACTCCAACAAAGTTGAAATCTTGGTATGTTAATAGTATTTTGATGGAGAATATGTAATTAAAAAATAAATAAATTTTTTGTATTTACGCATAATATTATTTTATTGAAAAATGTGTAGTTGAAAATAAAAAAAAGAGAAAAATGAATTTTGAAAATAATAAGGATCAAACAAGGACTAATTTAGAAATATGAAGACTCCATACGCACACACGTGATCTCGAAAAATGATTGAGACTCTCTTTAAATTAATTAAACACTCTTGAAAATATATACATGCATGAACTTGAAAAATTAATATATACTCTAGATTAACTGAATGTGATGAAATAGTTTTAAATATGGTTAAGATATAATTATCAAATAAACAATTTTCACATCACGCGACTTCAATATATTATTATAGATTATAGAAATAAGTTTCAATCCCTATTAAGATCAAGTTCAATCACGTTAAAGAATCGCGTCGAGTCACTTTCCTGAGAAAAGTTGACACCTCTATATGTCCCATGATAGACACATTCATGGAATAGATAAGTTACGTGACTATATTTCGATACTACACTCTTATTAATTGTTGAAAGTAGTCTGTTTATGATATTAAGTTCTTGTTTTGTTTAGTTAAATATTAAAATTTTTAACTTGATCCTTTGAAAACTCGCAAGTGAAAGAGATCGTGGACAAGTAATAAAGTAATGAATACAATGTCGAATCCATGAGAACTACGCATTTGATTGAGTTAAAATTAATTACAAATTTAATCGAACAGCAAACAAATTTTGTGATTTTTTTATACTTATCCCTAAATTATCAATTAAACTAATGAAATTAAGTAAATGTATATTTCAAATATATGAGATATATTGCTAAGATATCGAATCCCCCTTATTATTCTATTTTTAGTGTAACAATTAAAGTGACAATTTGAAATAATTCATGTTGGTTAATGTTCCTAATTTAATTGAAAGTCTCTCTCGATAGCGATCAAATTTATTCCTTTCATGTGACCCTTTTATATCTCGATGAAAGATGCAAACATGATAAATGCATTAACACGTATTAGAACACTTATTTAAACCATATGAAGTATAGATATATATATATATATATATATATATATCTCTATCCTTTATCGAATTTTACAATGTTTATTATAACATGTTATTTTAGACCATGGATAAGTGTATAAACACTCTAGATTAACTGAATGTGATGAAATAGGTGTACGTAAATTGTTGAAAGTAGTCTGTTTATGAAATTAAGTTCTTGTTTAGCTCAATTAAAAAGTATTCACCTATAACTCATTTCGTAGAGCCCTCAACTTATAAATACGTCAATAAAAATAATCAAACTCTGCTGTCATGCACTAAATTGTTGAAACTTCCCTAAAAAAAATTCAAATTACTTTAAATACGAGTATTCACACATACGAGAAGGAAACGTCTATCTTAGGGCGATTTTCGATTCGCCGCCTTAAATATGCAGCCACCTTCTGGTATGTGTCAATTGTAAAAAGAATCTAAACGATTTGGGTCAACAATTTTGACCGTCACCTCTTTTCTAAAGTGGGCTGGTTTGTTTAAACTAAGAATTTTCAAAGCTATATTTGAATTCGCCACTCTTAAATACAAACTTGGAATTTTATTTGTAAATGTCCATTTCACATTTTACTATTTTTTCTATCAATTTAACATTTTATCCTTCCTTCTTTTTTTAGCCTATAAATATTATTATCATACTAAAATCCTACAACACGAGACAAGTCGACTCGGCTCAACCCAAAGATGAATTATGTGACGAGCCAAGCTAAGATTTTTCCTTGCAAACCACTAGTCAACTTTGCACAGTTTGACTTGGCTCAAAGCTGGTTCACAAAATGGCTCAAGAGTCCAGAGCTAATTGCTTACCTTAGCCTAGTTATGGTTAGGCTGCATGACATTTTCGTCTTAAAAATAACAAAATTGGCGAGCTGACAAACAATTCGTCCCTCCAAGGATGAGTTGGTGGGGGAGCCAAACTAGCTTTTTTTCGAAACAAGTTGACTTGTGCTCGTCTCAATCCATAACATCCCTACCCAGATTAGTTCCCTTTCCCAACTTACAAAGCCTTAGCCACATTCTAGGTTCAAAAGTTCAACCATTTAAAATAAATAAATAAATAAACCACTAATTTTCTACATATTGCAATAAATAAATTGCCCAAAAATCAAATGAAGTTTTCTTCCCAATTTCAAAATCGTGATTCAACATTTTTGCTTGCGAACATCAGGAAATTTTCAATGGATGAATTCTCTACAAACCAGTTTCTCACTAATTGGGCTCAAAACTCTAATATTAGAGCCCATCAGTACTTCTGTTAATCAATATCCATACTGTGTAAAAATCCCAATATGTTATATGAATGAGAGAGAAACTTTTGGACTATTACGCCCTTGCCAATTCTTTAAAGCCCTTGAATTATTATTACTCAAAAGTTATTTAATTTTACGTTTCTTGTCCCTTCAAATTACATAAGCTAAGAGGGCAGCTACTTGTGATCTTTCTAACTTTAACTAGCTAATTGGTTTACTACTGGATTAGAGCCCTTGGATAGCACGTGTGCTACCATGGAAGAGAAAGGATGGAACATGAAGATTTCGTGTTATGTGGATGAGTTATGTGGGACAAAGGCATCCTACATTGCTGCGGTCGAAATATGTTGGATTCTTTTCTATTTATGCTAAATATTTACGTTATATTTTGAGTATGATTTATTTAAAGAAGTCCTTACTTTAATTTCAAAATTTTCCATTCCCATGAAGTGTTCCAGATTTATGTGGAACTAACAATCTAACATCGTACATATAGACATTTTGCCCACAGGAAAAGTTGGCATCTGAGAATTGGACGTGCACTTGACCTGCATGTATACTTTTGAGCAATTATTCTAAAAGTCGTGTCTAGATGCTTAGAAAAATGCCAAGCATAAGAGTGGTGAAAAAATAAAAGTCAATTAACTAAAATGCACCTAGGCAGAATGCCTTTTTGTTTGGTGAGTAGCGACGATTGTGCCTTCGATGCTGCGCCTCAATGCCGGTGGTGCCATGTCCCCAGATATGGTGTGCTGCAGGAGAAGAGAAAAGGGAAATGATGAGAAAGAAAGGGGAAAAAGATTTAGGGTTTGGGGAGTATGAGGTACAGAGGTAGTAGGGTGGGTTGTGGGGTAGGATGGTAAAATCTGAATTTTGAAATAAAAACTTAGCCCCTGTTTGAGCCACATTAATATTTTGTTTGAGTTTTTATATATCACCTGATTTTTGAAAAATTAAATTTGATCCCTGATTTTTGAATTTGAAACTTTAAACACCTGAGTTTTTATAATTTCTCATATTAGAGCCCATCAGTACTTCTGTTAATCAATATCCATATTCCATATCCATACTGTATAAAAATCCCAACATGTTATACGAATGAGAGAGAAACTTTTGGACTATTACGCCCTTGCCAATTCTTTAAAGCCCTTGAATTATTATTACTCCAAAGTTATTTAATTTTACGTTTCTTGTCCCTTCAATTACATAAGCTAAGAGGGCAGCTACTTGTGATCTTTCTAACTTTAACTAGCTAATTGGTTTACTACTGGATTGGAGCCCTTGGATAGCACGTGTGCTACCATGGAAGAGAAAATATGGAACATGAAGATTTCATGTTGACTAACTTACACTTTGTTATTGAAGAATTTGTGGATGAGTTATGTGGGACAAAGGCATCCTACATTGCTGCGGTCGAAATATGTGGGATTCTTTTCTATTTATGCTAAATATTTACGTTATATTTTGAGTATGATTTATTTAAAGAAGTCCTTACTTTAATTTCAAAATTTTCCATCCCCATGAATTGTGTTCCAGATTTATGTGGAACTAACAATCTAACATCGTACATATTGACATTTTGCCCACAGGAAAAGTTGGCATCTGAGAATTGGATGTGCACTTGACCTGCAAGTATACTTTTGAGCCATTATTCTAAAAGTCGTGTCTAGATGCTTAGAAAAATGCCAAGCATAAGAGTGGTGAAAAAATAAAAGTCAATCAACTAAAATGCACCTAGGCAGAATGCCTTTTTGTTTGGTGAGTAGCGACGACTGTGCCTCCGATGCTGCGCCTCAATGCCCGTGGTGCCATGTCCCCAGATATGGTGTGTTGCAGGAGAAGAGAGAAGGGAAATGATGAGAAAGAAAGGGGAAAAATATTTAGGGTTTGGGGAGTATGAGGTACAGAGGTAGGGTGGGTTGTGGGGTAGGATGGTAAAATCTGAATTTTGAAATTAAAACTTAGTCCCTGTTTGAGCCACATTAATATTTTAAGAGGGGGAAAATGGATATTACTTTGGCCCATGTTTGAGCCACATTATTTTTTTCATTCTCATTATTCTACTCATTTTCAACCACACATTTTTCAATAAAATAATATTTTTCATTACATCAATAACTTTTCATTCTTTTTCAACCACACATTCTCCATCAATCTACTATTACAAAATACATTGATTGTAACTACAAAAATCGAATTTTAATTCGGTTCTAACATTTTTTTAATATAATCTTAAGTAAATAAATCATCAAATTAAGGATATTTAAAACTTCAAAAAAAGAGAGTTTACAATGTTTGCCTCTTACACAAAAAGGATAAAATAAAATGAGAAATTTCACCGTTTATATTTCTACAAAATTCGAATTTTAATTCTATTTTAACCATTTCTTAATAATCTAAATTAAATAAAACTCAAATTAAATTATACAAATTAATATATATTCAGGATATTCACGGCTTAGAACAGAAAGGATAAAATAAAAACAGAAATTTCATTTGTTATATATTTTTTTATGAAGTGTAGAAAATATTGAACCGGTCATTTCTGGTCTAGTTTATTTTATATCAATGTATGGTTACTAACTTACTTGGATCATTAGGATTTTTTAAAATCCTAGAAAAAATTAAAAATTTATTCTAATAGTTCATATTCTCAATTTCAATAACTACCATTTGAAAATAATAAATATACTCAAAAATGGAATGAATTGATTGATTGGGTTCGATTCTAGTTCCCTCACGGGTTAAATTATCAAAATTATGTTAGTTTGACCCTCATTTTATTGTGAAAAAAAGTTTTGTAGTAGTTATTATTATTATTTTTTAAGGACGTGTGATTAAAAAGTAAGAAAAATTTTTAAATTTACTTGAAATTATTTCATTGAGAGAAAGCATAATTAGAAATAATTTTGAAGAAAAATGGAGTTCAAACAGGTAAAAAAGAGAAATGTGTACCTAGTTTCCAAACCCCCTTGGTCCATGAGTATTAGTTTTCAAAATCACACTTTGGATCAATTATCAAAATTATACAAATAAGAAATGTTGTATATACGAGTCTATGGCCCTGTTTGATCCATATTCTTAAAAAAAATGCATTTTTTTAATACTCATTTTCAGGATGTGTTTGAGTTATATTATTTTGAAAGAATGTATTTTGAAATAGTAGATTGATGGAGAATGTGTGGTTGAAAAAGAAGGAAAAATTATTGATGTGATGGAAAATATTATTTTATTAAAAAAATATGTCGTTGAAAATGAGTAGAAGAATGAAAATGAAAATTTTAATGTGGCTCAAACAGGGACTCAATTACACAATTTTCAATAAAATAATATTACATGTAAATCTAAAAAATTTCTTTCTTTTTAACTACATATTTTCCATCACATCACTATTCAAAATATATTCTTTCCTTAAGAATGTGCATCAAATATGAGCTAACGAAAGATTTCAAAATTATGGCCGTGTTCGGGAGGGATTAAAAGCCAATTAAAATTGAAAATATGGCCGTTATTGGGTCTCATTCGTCTAATAAAAGTCAACAATAACGGCTATATTTTCAATTTTAATCCGATTTTAATCTCTCCCATACAAGGCCTATATTCGAGTAGTGCCAAGCACAACTTTGTACACTACTGAAACGATTTTTAAAAGGAAACAATACATTTCTAAGATATTTACTTTACACAATTTCAAAAATACGAAAACAAGTTTCAAATTTCACAAATCATGTTTTTTAATTTTTTATTTATGAAATAATGAATTATTAAATCAATTTATTATTAAATATTTAATTATAATATAATATAATTACCACACCCCACTTTCACCACCCCAATCGCTTCGGGGACTATTCCGGCTACTATTCCGGTCACAAGTCATCTCCGACGACATTTTCAATGACCATTCCGACGACTATTCCGATGACCATTCCGCCACTACTTTGTTTCGATGACTGCTTCGATTCCGGTAAGTGCTCCAACTCCGACGACAATATTTAGGTCACAATTCAAAATTTTAATAAGTCACAATTTGGTCATCGGTCACAACTTAAAAATTTAGAAATCACAATTTGTTCGTCGGTCACAATCACAAAATTTGAAAGTCACATTATTTATTTTATGGTCACAAACATCACATTAATTGAATAAAAATTATATTTAGGTCAAAACTTATCAATTTATTGGTCATAAATTAATAATTTTTAGGTCACACAGCTTGTACTGGTCACAGTTTATCTAATTCATAGGTCACATATTGTTTGTTGGTCGCAAACCTACCAAATTATTGGTCAAAAAAATCAAATTATTTGTGAGCACCACTTCGTTGATGCCTCTACCAGCGGCAGCACCACCGTCACCGCCCAATAGCAACATCAACATCTCAAAACCAACACCACACCTTCCCCAACACAAAACCACGATCGCTACACGCACCACCAAAACACAGAACACACAAATCAAACACAAAACATACAACCACCATCACCAACTTCAGATCCACAATTCGCAGAGCCTAATCCACCGCCAACACCACGACACTGCACCGTTTACGACCACCACCTCCAAAACCACCGCCGCCAACACGACCACATCACAACCATCGCACTGTTGCATTATGCACGACACCTAACCACCGCACCCAAACAGATCTGCACCTCCACGACCGTCGCACCCAAATAGATATACACCTCCACGAACCCTGCTCCCGAACAGATCTGCACCTCCACACCCCAACTGCACCCAACTTCCGGAGGCGAAATTTCCTCAGAATGGTGGGTGACAAATTTATATTTTTTGTTCCACAGATTGTTTGTTCCTAAACGATCTCAGTGCCGGCAAGGAAGGCTGGCTCGTCTACAATCCTAACCTCCTAATCGCCCATGACACCCACTCCGTAGCACTCGCCAACCGCATGAACTTACAGTCACTGGAGTAATCCCGTCGATGAAAAGGAGGAAACAGCGACGATCGAGGGTGGAGAGAGAGAAGGCGAGAGAGAAGAGGAGGGGAAGAAGCGACAGCTGCCAGGGTGGCGACATCGTTGAGAGACGGGAGATGAGAGTGGAGAGGAGATTGGTTCAAATGATTTTAGGGTTTGGGTTCAAATGATTTTATTGTATATAAATATAAAAATAAAAATAATTTTTTTAAAAAATTATTAATTAAAACTTGATTTTTGAAATGTTAAACTTGTGATCTGATTTATGAAATTGGAAATCTAATTCCAAGTCTATATGTAATTTTCTCTTTTTAAAATTTAAAATTTCCTTATTTCCCAACCCAATCAATTAGACTGCATGATTTTCTAGAAACACCTCCCAAGTAATTCGAATAATTAGAAATTCATCCCAATAATAATTAACAAAAAGAAAGAACCCACATCTTTTATTTCCAAGTAACAGAATACAAAAGCAAAACAAATTAGGGCTTATAATTATCATGGAAATGGCGCCCTCAATACCATATATGTCTTCTCTATGTCAATAGCAAAACCCTTGCCAGTCTGCATCCAGTAATCAGCATAAGAATTCGTCATCTCAGGTATTGCTATATCGATTCTGCTTATTTTCAGTTCTTCAGATAATATCCTGTAATTATCATTCATTTTCTTAACTAAATCCACCATGCCCACGTTCACACCTTGTGGAGACATCATCAGTGCAGGTGCACCAAAGGGAAGTCTATCACCTGCATTTATCAAATCAAGAACTAACTCTCGTATTGTATAAAATACAAAACTCCTTTTTTTTCCTCCTTAAAAGTTACTAAAATATCAATTAAATCGTTCAAGAGGCTAAAACGTTGGTGATTTGTGTTCGCATCTCCAACCTTTTCATTATTTAATTTAAGAATGGTTTCAATTAGATATATATATCAAAACGAAAATAAGTCATCCCAGATAACAGTTGAGTTTGATTAGTTATTAGCAATTACAAATTTTGCCAAACATGCACAGCTCAGCCAAAATATATAACAGGAATACAAAGAGAGAACCCACCTCTGTCAACTTGCCATGTGCACCAAAACTTGCCGCAACTCCGGGCTAAATCTCTGAGTTCAGGCTTCTGAATCATCTCTGGAACACGAGGATTCACCCACAGCCCTGATGTAATCTGGACCATAATAATCACGTTTTTCAAAAAATAAAGGGTTCAAATATCAAGAGAATCTGTAATACGCAATGATTATTGTTTTTCTAATAATCCATATGAAGGTAACCTAAAAGCAAGAAAAAGAATAGGAGACCTCGTAACCATGTGAATGCCAAAGCTTCTGTTCCTTCGGACCAAGAGTTTCAAAGATCATATCTGATGTTATATACTCAACCCCTGTACAAAGATAACAACGCAAATTCCACCTTAAACATAAAACTTTATAGAGATATCTGTAAGAGATAGCAAAGTGGGTGAGGATGGGGGGCAAGTTTTACCGATTGGCCGTCCATTGGGGTCATCAGAATCATAAACATCACACTGGAGGAAATCTTGATTGCGGCGGCTAACATAGTGATGAGTCTCGATTTGTCGGGTCATATCATGGCTATATGATGCGAAAGTGCAAACATGCTGGCTCATCTGCTTGATTGGTTTCAAGGATTGCGTCATTTGAGCCCCTTTGTCGATTATATGCTGTCCCACAGTCATTGGCTTCCCCGGCGGCACGGAGCCATCACCGGGAGGCATTTGACCTGGGGTTTCATCGCTTGAGGCCATCTTTTCTTCTTCTGATATGATGATTTGCAGTTTTTAAGGGAGTGTAGAGGTTGTAGATAAACCCATTACTAGTAGAGCATGTACAACGTGGGTAGTTTGTGTTGACCCCACGTATGCATGTTCATTGTTGAGGTGATTGAATTTGCTGAAAACGAGCATCATCAGTTACACATCGGTGTTAACTAATGAAAATTTTGAGGATATGCATGATATGAAAAATCATTAGGAATATAAGTGTTATAATGAGCAAAGGTTAAAAATCTCAAGTGCAATTAAAATGTGGTGCAAGAAATAAAAATTCTTGTGTGAATATAATGACCCTTAGTTAAAAGCCTTTAGAGTGATATGTAAAATCGAATACCTATATGAATAATCAGAACTTGTTGACAACAAAAAACCATCACGTTTGTACATAAAACTCGACACTAATGGATAATTTCATTCAATTTCTTAATAGTATGCAGTTTCTCATGATTTTTTCAGGGGAATTGGACAATAGATTTTTTTTCTTCCGAGCGTAGTCATATCTTGGAAGTTGATAGAAAAAAACATTACTTATTAATATTTCTTTGTGTCATACCATACGTGCCCTCGATAAATGCACTAGAAACTGCATACTGAACAATACTAAGAAAGAAAGAAAATCATTTAAGGTTGTCTGAGTAGGACTTTTGAGCAGATGTAGAGGACGAGCCAATTTCTTGGCATCAGACCGTATGAATGAGGTTCCGAGTTTCACTTGAATTAAGTCGAATGTCTTGAAACTTCTCTCTGAGTGATTGAAACTTTAATTCATCTTCATAGATGCTTGGATCCATTTTAAACTCCTGAACATTTATATAACCTTCAAGCATGCCACATACCGTGGACATGGTAGGCCTCAGTGCCGGAGATGGATTAGTGCACAATAGAGCAACTTTTGTCATTCTTTCTGCCTCTTCTTTATCGAAATTAGAACTCAACCTCGGATCAACTAGCTCCATAAACCTCCCTTTGTTTTGTAAAACCATAGCCTAAGACAAAGAGATTACGTAAGACCTAAAAGTTGGACGATATTTCATGAAAGTAAGAACTAAAACAGGTTATTGTGACGAAACTCCCATCTTCCGATGGGCAGAACATAAAAATTTCTTACCCAATCAAGAAGGCAAACGAAATTGTCATTGGGACAATATTTCATGTTGTTCTTTCCAGCAACAATTTCTAGTGCAACAACACCAAAACTGTACACGTCTGCTTTGTAGGTTAAGTAACCCCACATCGCATATTCAGGAGCCATGTACCCACTGCAAAACGAAAATCATCAATTGTGAATCATACATAAGCTTTTCGCTCATATTTCTCACATAGGAATTTGTTCAAATATTATACACATTGATGTTTATTTCTAATTAAGATGATACTGAGGAATTAAAATATTCCCACGCTTTTAATTGCATCTTTCATGTTGTTATGAGCATGTTTGACTAAGCTTGAACAGTTAAGTCATAAGTAAATAAGTAAATTTTACAATAAGTGTTTTTTATCGGTCAAAGTTAGAAATAAGTTACTTATTTGTGTGTACATATATTTCTCAACTAAAGAATGACAGCATTGAAAACCAGACGGAAAAAAAAAACTCACATAGTCCCGGCAGCTCTAGTGCTGATGTGCGTGTTATCATCTTCGTCAAGTTTGGCTAAACCAAAATCTGAAATCTTTGGGTTTAGATTTTTGTCAAGAAGAACGTTAATGGCTTTAATGTTTCTATGGACAATTTTCAATGCTGATTCTTCGTGCAGAAAAGCTAAGCCTTTTGCTATCCTGACACAAATTCTTTGTCTGGTTAGCCAGTCCATTTCTATTCTCCATTCCTCTGGTCCTGTACTTGATAATTAGATACAATCATACACGTGAATAAGATAATACAAACTGATATGGTATTACTACATTTTATTTTAATTACTTGAACTAAAAATTGCATGGTGCAGGCAAGAAGTTCAATTACCAAATAGAGCGCGGGCAAGGCTATTGTTCTCCATGTATTCATACACTAGCATTAATTGGTTTCCTTCAATGCAACATCCATACAATTTTACAAGATTTGGATGCTGTAAATCAGAAATCATGCCTATTTCATTCACAAATTCACGGTTGCCTTGCTTTGATTTGGAAGACAGCTGCTTGACAACAACTATACTGCCATCCAAGAGTACACCCTGCAAATGAAACATCATAGTATTAACACATAAAAGATTGTACAAGAGGACAAATATGGAAGTTAATAATTGCTATGTACCTTGTAGACAGATCCGAAACCACCTTCCCCAATTTTGTTTGCAGCATCAAAATTGTTTGTAGCAGCTTTGATTTGTCTAAAGTGAATAACCTAGTCCGCAAATCTAATCCTCTTAGTTCTGGAAAAGAACAAATGTCAGGTGTTAAATCTGCTTATAGCTTGAGATTGAGAAGACTGATGTAAGACTATATACTAAATTCATGTTCCACAATGGAAATATACGACAATTTTGGAATATACGTTCTTGCTGAGATACTAAGAGAGGTCTATTTATTATTCCACATCACCTTGTTCCCTTGAGATCCTGCCTCCGATGTACCCTTTCCACCAAGAAAAACAAAGAATAATGAGAATAAGAAAAAATGCCGAAGCCGCTGCTCCTGTTGCAATGAAAATCTTCTTCTTGCCTTTTGATGGAGGCTTAAAATCTATATAATGGAAGAAATGAAGAAACGTATTGTTAGATGGTGTTCAGTTTTGCTTGTCACCAGAAGAAATACTGAAATAGCATAAAGGAATTGTTACATGAAACTTCAGAGAGAGATAGAAGTGTTGCATGATAATTGAAAGGTATTGGTCAGACTATCCTACCAGATTCCACGGATATAGCAGATATCAAAGGGCCATATGTACCGCGACTGGGGACGGTTGTTGATCCTTTCCCAGAATAGTGAAATCGGATCTCCAGAGTTTTATTCTTTACCATGGCTTTAAATTTTTGTTTTACAACTTTGTCAACTCCTTTTGCATCTTTTTCAATATCAAAATCATTTAATTTCCGTTCACCCTGTGTTAAGATAAAAAAGTCGATTCAAATTGCAACCATATATGGCACTAAAAACTGCTTATTCGTTACTTGACCTGGATATACACATCAAACATCCGTCTTCCAAGACTCCGAAAAGAGCGATTATCTCTGAAAATTATCTCTGCAAAGTGAAGTGTCACAGTGTAGTTTCCATTTGCTAAGCAATGCCGGTAATAAGTGAGAGATAAAGGAGAAAGACGGGCACTCGTATAGAGTTCAGAGTCATTCACTTTGAGCACAGACACATTATTTGCTGTATAGTCATTTATCGATATGTTACGGCCCAAAAAGTATCCTGTACTACTAGATCCCCAGTTCTCTTTTGAGTGAACAAATTTTTCTGAACCCGCTGATTCTTCATCAGCTTCAAAAATTGCATTTCCAACCGTAGCTTCCCTTCCACCACAATTTATATGAAACGAATACCAATCTGTGAAAAACTAAAGCCAATTAAGTTGTTTATGCTGGAATCTCGTAGTGTAAAAATAAAGAAGTGCTGTAACTTTATGCTATGTATCAATCCTTTTGCTCAAAATAGAGTCCGTTAATAAAAGAAAATTACAACTGCATTCCTTATGCTTTTTAGTTGTCAACTTGAGTACAGAAAGACGTTGACATTATACCATACAGAAATGCTTGGATGAAGAGTTCAATTGAGCATTCAAGGCTTAATTTGTGAATGGAGTACTTACCCTTTGTACAAGGACTGAGGCACTTCCCAAGTATACTGTATTAAGTCATGTGGCGAGGGGGGAAAATGAGAAATAAGATATTTGTTATCCAAAGTCAAGTTAAAATTATAATAATCTTATAAATATATAAGAAGCAACTTATAACTTACAAACTGTTTCCTCTACTAAAGCTTCTGAACAAGTTTCTGATGCAGAAAGAAAAGAAGAAAACAAATTGAAGCCATCAAGAAGCAAACAAAAGCAAGCATGTGAAAAATTGGCGCTTACAGAGTTTCCCGACAACTTGATGGCACAGAACTCTCGTAGAAGTTATTGTAAGAAAGATCAATTTGGCTGCAAAAGCACATAATCACTCTTTCAGAACTTATTTCAAACCTCTACAATTAAGGAAAGAAAAGAGCCGTATTCGACATATTGATAGAAGTCCTGCAATATGTAGAAATTATAGTTCAAATGAGAAATTAATTGTTTGCAAACTTCCTGGATAAAAAGATATCAAAAGGGATCCTGAGAGAAGTGAGGATCCTGTTTACACAAGAATTTTAGGATGCCGTCGTGTATGATGGATAATGCTGGTACTAAATCACAGATAGAAGTCGATATATTAATAAGAAACATAGAAGTGAACTTACTGTTTAGTATCTCTGCTCTTGATCCACTCTGGAATTGGCCCAGTAAGGTAGTTACTAGTCAGATACCTAATCACAACCACAAAATTATACATTTTAGAGTAAAAATGAAAATACTGAAAGCAATAAAACATGAATAATGCACAGAATATCATGCAGGAACAAGTGTATAGGGGCGTATTTGAATGACACATGCTTCAGTATATGAGAGGTGAATGACAGTCCAAGGTACAAATCAATTAAATAAACTAATTGCTTACATGATCTCTAGATATGATAGGCCTTCAAGATTTGCAACATCTCCTTTCAACTTGTTAAAGCTCAGATCTCTGTGAATACACCACAGGCGTATATCTTTTAATCAAGCATAGAGTTTCTCAACTTAAGAACAATATGCAGTGAATATTTATACTAACGCAACAAAGTGAATCTTAATTTTGTATGATATCTAGAAAGAAAGAAATAGATAGGCAGAAAAGCGATGGAAGCACATGAAAAAAACAAACTGACAAGGTTTCCAAATATTCGTCCTGTAAAAAGAAGAGTGGCAAGCTCTTGCATTGTATAAAAAGAAGAAGGGTAGTAGAATCGGTAGTTACAGATACTTCAATGATGCATATCTGCAAGGTACCCAGGAATGTTTCCAGACAATTTACAGCTCCTTAACATCCTGCAAGAACACAACATATTTATTAAATATGCTGTTCAATAATAGTAATTATCAACATTAAATATGACATTTACTCACAACATCTGCATCCTTTTCATGTCTCTTAGCAGTGGAAACTCTGAAGCACCTCCATTCAAGTCACCAATCCGTCTGCAAAGATATCGCATTAGATCAGTTTTCTTCTTCGCTAATAATATTTAGTAAATGAACATAATATTGTTACTGAAATATTGACAAATTGAAAGGTGACTGTATAGGTTTCTACTCACAGTTCAGTTAAATTTTTCAAGATGGAAATACTAGAAGGTATGGGTCCTTCAAAACCACTCCCTTGTTCTCTCTGTTGATAACAATGTCACATAAACAAAATTCGAAACTACAAATTTTGCATTTTGGAAATTTATCACTCAGGAAAAGGACTTACAACTTCTGAAGGTTTGCCCAGCTATGGAAACTAGGTAATTTTCCAGTGAAGTTGTTACTGCTAAGCCTACTGCAT